AGCAGGTTAGTGTTGCTAATTTTTCGACTTTTTTTTTTTTTTTTGGTTTCTTTCTTTCCCAAACTGTTGGCTTTCTCTTTTGACCTCTACGAAAGCTTTTCAAGGGCATGATTTTTATTTTCACTCCTGATGCGTTTAATTTAATGCAGAAATAAAGGTTGAAGGAGGCTTTAACTTAAACAAAAACCCGGAATGAGGGATTTATAAGGATCCCTTTAAACTAGAGATTAATGCAATTCTTGCAGAGTGTCAGTTTGGGATATGAGCAGGCTGGAAGCATTTCAGTCCTAAAATTTTATGCCTGTCCCCTGTAAGTAAACTTTATTATATTTAGTGGGATTTGCTCATAGGGTTAGGGGTAAAACATGAATTCATGATTTTCATAGAAACAGGACCCAGCCCTAGAGAAAGATACATTTTCTGTTACTTAAGTATCTATCTTACTGACAAGTGAGAAATAGGAGACAAAAAATGTTGAAAATAGAAATCCCATATGTTATATGGTGCAGCAAGGAATAACAAACACAGCTTTTTCCATATTTTATTTCCTGAGCCTTTGGATTTCTATTTTAATATGTTTGGCACAGATATTGGAGTAGGAAAGGGTTGGGGGCTGGCCTCTCATTGCACAGCCAAGCACCAGATGTCAGGAAGGACAAGCGGCAACACATTACAGGTGTGTGCATGGCCTTCTGGGGCACCCCCTTTCTTATTGGGGGACTAAGCTATGATTGTTCCACAGCATTTTGTGGACCTCTAAGTTAGCCTGGCATTCTCTAATGTTGTTGGAGACACTGTCCTTCCCAGTAGTGCTGAAGTTAATTTCAACTGTTTGTCTATTTCACTGCAATGCACAAAGCTCATTGGTAGAGCATAAGCATTTCTCCCAGGATCAATTTTTGGCATCTCAAATATAAGACTGAAAAGTTCCCTAGGCGAAAACCTGGATAGCAGCTACTAGCCCCTTTCTGGAGTCAGTGTGATATAATGGTTAAGGTGTTCTTAAACTGGGGAGAACCAGCTTCAAGTTCACCCTCAGCCATGGCAACTTCCTGGGTGAATCTGAGCAAGTCATGTTCCCTTACCACAACCTGTCTTTGTTGTTGGGGGTAGGGACAAAATTGGAAAAGTAGAAAATTGGAGGAAATGTATACCACCTGGTGCTCCTGAAGGAGAGGCAGAATGTAAATCTAACAAATGCACCATCTTTTTGTCTTGATACAGCTATGGGTGGAGAAGCAAAGCATGTTTAAGTATTTAATAATGTAGTTCATAATAGTTAACTCACAGTCTATGACAGCCTCCTTACCCCCCCCCCCCCACCCCACAAACCTTTTTGGCCCCTTTTTTTTTTTGGTATTTTTTTAAAGGGCGGAGACCCCAAAAAAAAATAGGAGCTAAACTTGTATCCCTTTTT